CTGTGTGTCTGTGTGTCTGTGTGTCTGTGTGTCTGTGTGTCTGTGTGTCTGTGTGTCTGTGTGTCTGTGTGTCTGTGTGTCTGTGTGTCTGTGTGTCTGTGTGTCTGTGTGTCTGTGTGTCGTTGTGTCTGTGTGTCTGTGTGTCTGTGTGTCTGTGTGTCTGTGTGTCTGTGTGTCTGTGTGTCTGTGTGTCTGTGTGTCTGTGTGTCTGTGTGTCTGTGTGTCTGTGTGTCTGTGTGTCTGTGTGTCTGTGTGTCTGTGTGTCTGTGTGTCTGTGTGTCTGTGTGTCTGTGTGTCTGTGTGTGCGTGTGCGTGTGCGTGTGCGTGTGCGTGTGCGTGTGGGCGTGGGCGTGGGTGTGGGTGTGGGTGTGGGTGTGGGCGTGCATGCGTGCGTGCGTTTGCGTGCGCGTGCGTGTGCGCGTGTGTGCGTGTGTGCGTGTGTGTGGGTGTGTGGTTGTGTGTGTGTGTGGGTGTGTGTGTGTGTGTCTGGGTGTGTGTGTGTGTGTGGGTGAGGGTGGGTGCGGGTGGGTGTGGGTGGGTGTGGGTGGGTGGGCGTGGGTGGGTGTGGGTGTGTGGGTGTGTGGGTGTGTGTGTGTGTGTGGGTGTGTGGGTGTGTGGGTGTGTGGGTGTGTGGGTGTGTGGGTGTGTGGGTGTGTGTGTGTGTGCGTGTGTGTGTGTGTGTGTGTCTACCAGGCTTGACTCGTCTACGCTGCACACTGCTGCCTGCATTTTTCTGCAAGAAGCATCTTTGGGCATCTTTCGCTTTGTGCCTCGCGGGACTTGCTCATTACAGATATATGTGGTGTGTTCCAAATGGGCGCGCCCTAAACTCCAGGCAAAAGGTGGCTCCCTATTTCAGCAAATTCCCATACCCTCACACTCTTCTGCGCTTAGCAGCGGGGCGTCCTGTCGCTGACCCCACATTCTCGTCGTGCTTCTTGGCCCGAAACTCCTGAAGGAAATGTGCCACGTCCTGATGGTCTTTGTCAGAAGCAAGTTGCCAAGGTGTGGCTCCTTCCTCGTTGCTGATGTCTTTCTCGGCACCAGCTTCCAGCAAGCAATGCACAACCTCCAAATGCCCAGAAATAGCAGCCAGATGAACAGGTGCGTTACCCTCATGATTAGCCTTGTCCTTTTCAGCACCAGCTTCCAGCAAGAGACGCACTATATTAACATTGCCATCTCCTGCAGCAATGTGAAGCGGCGTATCACCGTCGAGGTTGCTTTCGTCTGTATTGGCGCCAGCTTCCAATAAGCAGCCAGCAATTTCCTCGCGGCGATCTCGCGCAGCAGTGTGCAAAGGAGTATCACCAGCCTCGTTCCTCTCGTTCTTGTCGGCGCCAGCTTCAAGCAAGCAACGCGCAACTTCCACAAAGCTTTGGTGGATTGCATATTGCAAAGGCGTATCGCCCTCGGTGTTACCTTTGTTCATGGCAGCACCAGCTGTCAGCAAATAGTGCAAGACTTGCAGGTGGCAATTTTCGGCAGCGAAATGAAGAGGCGTTTCACCGTCGGCCGTGACCCTGTCCGTGCTCGCGCCGGCGTCTAGTAAGCAACGCACAATCTGCATATTTCCATTCTCAGCAGCATAATGCATTGGTGTATAACCATGATGGCCACCCTTGTCCTTGTCAGCGCCGGCTTCAAGCAAGCAACACACAATTTCCAAAAAATCCCCTTGCGCAGCCAGATGCAAAGGTGTGGATCCCTCCTCGTTGGCGGTGTCTATATCAGCCCCAGCTTCCAGCAAGACAAGCACAACTTTCAAATGCCCAGAATCAGCCGCCCAGTGCATTGGGGTGCCACCGAGTTCGTCCCATCCGTTCTTGTCAGCGCCGGCGTCCAGCAAGCAGCGCACAACTTCCACATGGCCGTGCTCAGCCGCGACAAGCAAGAGCTCGTCCAGATCCTCGTGATTTGAACCATCCAGCAGACACCTTAGAACTTGCACATGGCCACATCTGGAAGCAAGCCAGATGGGCAGAGTATCATCATTGTTACCCTTATCAAGCTTGGCACCTGCGTCCATCAAACACCGCACAACCTCCACATGGCCATTCTCACAGGCGGAATGCATGGGCGTATCGCCGTACAAGTCCTCCTTGTCCTTGTCTGCGCCCGCTTCCAGCAAGCAGCGCACTTGCGGCAAGTGCCCACATCTGGCAGCGGCATGAAGAAGCGACTCGTGTCTGCGCCCAGCTTCGTAGGTGTTCGGATCATAAGGCCTCTCCAAAAGTTCCACCAGGGCGGGCAAGTCTTCGCGCTCAATAGCCTCCAGGACCCTTTGCCTTCCAGAGGCCTTTCTGATCTGCACAAATGGCCGCACCACGGCCACCAGGGCGTCCGCATTCCAGGCGCTGTCCGGCCCAAGCACGCGGGGCCCACACGCCAGGCTCAGGCGACGGAAATGACCCAGCTCCAGCCGCTTGGCCAGTTCCTGCCTCAAGACATCCACAAAGCAAGCGCCGCCTTGCCGAAGCTCCTGTCGCCACGACCCCATGGGTTGAGGCCTTGGAGGACCAAAAAAGGAACCCCCAAAACCACCCAAGACCAACGTTCTACCTTTGACTTCTGGTCATCGGCTCGGAGCAACCCTGTCCTCTGTCCGTTCCCACCACTGTGCAAACTCCTCCTCCGTCATCACCTCCCGGCCGCTGGACAAGCGGACACATGCCATGGCACGTGCGCGCGGCCAAGGCCGCGCCGAGTTGCTGTTACGGGGGAGCAACCTACCCCCCACCCGCCCCCCACCCGAACCCCCTCTCTTACAACTTAGGAGGATTCTTAAAACATTCTGATGGTTGGGGGGCCCCTAATGATCAGCCCTAGTCGTTCGCCTCTGACTCGACTTGAAAAGGCAAGTGAAGAACATCGTCCCGGGTTAAGTGGAGAACTCCGGAGTTCTTTTGGTTAACCTTTTTGGCCCAAAAGAAGGTCTGGGGAACGTGTTGGCTTGGTGAGCCTGAAGTTGTCCTCAAGACGTTCCTTCAAAGCCGAGTGTGCTGTGAAGGCCAAACCTCTCTCCACGCCCCTCAGGCGAAGTACCAGGAGCATCCACCCCGCCCTCTTCCAACACAGAAAACCAAAGCACTTGAGCCATCATCAACACGTGGCATTCAAGTGGTCTCCCAAAACTATGCAAAGAGTTAAGAGGGCGCCCGAACCTATTTTTTGGTTGAGACTGCTCCTCACAACCCTTCATCTACCTGGGTTTAGATTGGAACTCACTTGTATTCCAGGGGTGGAAAACCGCTTCCAGCCAATGACACGGTTGCTCCACCAAATCCCCATGGCATGCGAGGGAGGGCCATTTGTTTAAAGGAAAATCCAAAGGAACACCACCTAACCTAGTTTGGTCCCGGTCCCCCAATTTGACACATACCCATGTCTACTTGCTCACTCACTTGAGCCTCGCGAGACAGTCACCAAGCAGCATCATTTGGGATCGATCAACCCGCACCCACCAACCCTCCCCGCAAAGAAGAAGTAGCAAAGCTGTGGATAACAAAATCATGCACCAGTCGGGATGGATGAAGCCCCGCAAATACTGGGAGAAACCACCAACTGCGAAGTGGATTTTGTCCATCCACGGTAACTAGTAGGGGTGCCCTAGAGTCATAGGACGAATGCCCTAAATTCATAGGGTCCAAGCCTTCCCTCCTTTGCCTGGTCTCACAAGATAAGAACTCACAGCCTGAAATACTATGTCCTTTGGAGGAACCGAACGGGGTAGGGAAGGGATGGATCCTATCCGACACCATAAGAGGTTTCCAAAAAAAGGTCCCATGAATCCTTACCAGCGCAGTTGAATGGACCTCGTCACCTCATTTGGCAGTCCTCGGGCAGCGTGAGGAACTCGGTGACATCAGTGCTCAGCTCCAGCTGCGTCACCTTGTGTTGAATTAGGTACCTTTGGTCGAAAAGACAGGCGACCCTTTTAGGCCCCGACAAAGGCAGATTGCCTTGGTTGAAAGAACGGGGGCCCTGAGGGCGGAATTTCGTCGATTGGAATAGAAAGGGGCCCGTTCAAAGCATGGTAGAACCACCCGTCTCAATGATGGCATCCCTCTCTCTCTCAGGGTAGCACTTGAATTGGCTGACGTCCATGAAGACTTGGCCATTACAAAGACCATTTCAAGGTGGCATCACAAATGCAGACTCCATTTCAGTCTCTCTCCACAACGGCAAAACCTTCTTCAATGATTTTCAAGGGAAACTGTCAAACACCTCGAGGGGAGAAACTCACCTTTGCTGCTAGCCCAGCACTCTCCTAAAAATGAAAGAACAATAACAAACAAATACACGCACACGCACACGAACACGCACACGCGCACACACACAGAGAAAACGTGGTCTGGATCAGATCTTCAGGGGGGGTGTTGAGAAGATGATTGCGTGGGCCAATTTGCAACGCGGTTGGGGGCAGACAACCCAAATCATCACAGGTTCGGAAAAAAAACATGCGTGAGTTGGAGGTGCATCGAGCCTTGTTCAAGATCTTGGGAGGGGGGTAACTAGGGGGACCACTTCCTGAGATTTGCCGAAGTCTGACTGTGGTCTTTTCTATTGAAAAGGGCCCCGAAGGGCAGCGAACCTGTGACGGATTGTAGCAAACGCCTGGGCTCGGATTGACCCTCTGGGGATTTCTAGATTCTGGAATTCCAAAACATGAAATGGGTGTCCTTGTTTCCATCTAGCAGGGTACCTATTTTTCATCCGCACGCAAGTAAGAGCTGGATCTGAGCCCGCCAGGACATAGGCAGAAGGGATTCTTATGGCTCTAAACGAGACCGTGCGCACAGTGCCTCCCCATGCAAACCTGAAGCAAACGAACCAAGCAACAGTCCATATCAAAAGTAGCCACGGTCCCTGCCCGCCCCTCTCCCTCCCCTTCCCTCCCCTGCCTCTCAGGTTGGGACTTTTTGCGGCAAATCAAAGAAGACTTCGAAAGAGTCATGCAAAGGGGCCCTGGTGAAGCAACCTCCTTTTCTGGTTTGAAAAGCCCAACACCCTCCACAAAAAGAGATACCCTCTCGGTTCCCTCTTCCGTCTATCTCTTTCCGTTAAGCTACCATTTAGCTCTTTTGGCATTTGAGGGGTGGAAGTTTCCCTTCGCCCGTATTTGGGTGTGTGTGTGTGTGTTTGTGTGTCAAAACAGGGGAACCCCAAATGGGTGTTTGTTCCTTTGGTTTTCCTTTAAAACCACCCCAAGCGAGGCAACCTTAGAAACAGGACCTTGTGGTTTCCCTTCCAGGGAGTACTATTCAGGCTGTCACGACTCAGCTCTCTGCCTCCAGCTTCGCATCGATCTTCCAGGTCGAGCCATTCTTCAGACCGTAGCCTCTCGCGTGTCGCTTAGGGTTCCGGGAGAGGATACATCCAACCCTGCAAAAGTCCGTCCTATTGGAATGGAGAACCCAACACGAGTTCCTGACCGCCCCCACCGCCAACAAAAAAAGAAGAAGCGTATATCCTGGCGAGGGCGTACCTGCATAAAAATGTTTTGAGCCTGTGCAGGTTTTGGAGCTTTCAGCTTTGGGTTTTTTTTGTGAGCCTGTGCAAATTATGGAGCATTGGGTTCTGAAAACATGCACAGGTTGAAAAATACAAAACCTGAAAGCTCAAAAACCTGCACAGGCTTCAAAAATGCGAACACTGCAACCCCAGATGCAATGTCAGAGGTCAAGGCTTGATTGGTCTAGTTGCTTGTACGTTTGCAGTGTGTGGCTCGGCCCACAAATATGGCCATATTTGAGGGCCGAGCCACACGGCGTGTACCCAGTGTATTGAGCCTTTGCAGGTTTCAGAACTTTCATCTTTGGTTTGTTTGCATTTGTTTGAGCCTGTGCAAGTTGTGGAGCTTTGGGTTTCTTAAAACATGCACAGGCTCAAAAGTGCAAACAAGTCCAAAGCGTTTACTTGTTTCTGAAGACTGGGAGACAGATCGCCGAGCATTTTGATAGAAGACTCGCGCTGCAAAACGTTCAGCTTCTGACGTCATAGCTGCTGAATGACCTTGTTTGAGCTTCCTGCAGCAGAGTAATCTAAAAAAGGATGTGTGCATAAAGTATAGGTCAGTGACATCAAAACGACAAATGAATATATATATATATATGTACATACATATATATATATATATATGTACATACATATATATATATATATGTATGTACATATATATATATATGCTCACCCCCTACTTTTGATATTACCAGTGCTTACAGACTGTACAAGCCCCCAAAACCTGCGCCTGCTGCTTATGTAAGGCAGGATATTACCGGACGTGGGCTCATTCTGGAATGCTCGCGGACTTGCGCAAATTATTCATTAAGACTCTGCCACCAATTAAATAGTACTGGCTTCTACTGTCTGAACAATGTTTGTGGAATTCCTCCCTTTCATCCTTGTTCAATCATTTCATACATCGGTTGGTCCTAGACTAAACTTAGTTCAACACAACAAATTTATTTGACAGAAGCAAGTTAGGTACATTGAAAAAGCGGAGTTAGGTACATTGTAAAAGCGAAGTTAAGTAAAGTGTCATAAACACAGGGTCTAAGCCATAATATTTCATTCATACATCTCTGAAGTGTGCAAGAATGTCAGTCAATAAAAGCACATTTGCGTTCACAGAGAAATCGTGATGTTCTCTCATGATTTACTGATAAAACGTGGCCATATGGATTCTGCTTTTTCGGTCTTCATCACGAACCTTATCCTCGTTCTATTGACTGTAAAACACCTCTGTCAAAGTACTGGCGCAAGGGTATCAACAATAAAGCAAACGATGCCTCTTCTGCCTCGCCTGCGCATCTTGGATTTATCATGTCAACTGATGTGCAGATCCTTTTCGTCTGTCAACTTACAAACCTGTGCCAATACCTGCTGCAAACCTCCTTCGTCTGTCAGCTCACAAACCCTGGCCAATACCCAAACATTTGCTCACGTCTCATATGCCTTGATCAATGCCGCGCTGTCTGCTAAAAGGTGTCGCGTTGGGGAGGACCAGCAGTACGAAGCGCGATTCGGGTCTTGGCGGAGCCAGGGGGGGGGGTTGGGTCAAAAATGATTACGTTCAATCTCGGTCCTGGCCAACACGACACATGCTAAAACAACTAATTTCCCTCAACGAAATCTGTTCTACGCAAAACCTGCTAAGAAGCATGCAAAACACTCGTGTTTACAGTGTTTTGCAATATCCGAGGGTTGGCGTGGATCCCTGAAACATGTTCTAAAGAATTGGTTGTCCAATGTCCGTCTGCTGAACTATCAACTGTATTTGTTTTGTGGGCCCATACTGCATTCAAGATTCAAGATCTAGAGTCCTGGGAATCTTGAATCTTGAATCTCAGATGCGAAGGAGCTTTACAGCGCTTTGAAGCGTCTGCTTGCAGTCATTCCTTTTTGGTTGTGCCACTTTTGGATCTAAGACTCAAGATTCAAGATTACAAGGACTCTAGATGTTGAATCTTGAATCCAATACGGGGCCCCCAAAGCGCGTTAAGGCGCTTTCATTCAGGTAGGAACCTGGAACCTCGAATCTTGGATCCGAAAGTGCTTTAAAGCGCTGCAAAGCTTTTTTGGGTGACACAGTCACAGTTGAAATGACCAAATGAGGTAGAGTGTAATGCTGAAATGTGGGGTGCCTGAAAAGGAGCGGAAAACACCCAAAGGTACGGCAAATATTAGTGAAATCCTCTTGGGGTGTGTGTGTGTGTGTGTGTGTGTGATTTTGGGGGGACGATATGTATATATATATATATATATATATGCATCTATATATATACTTATATGATAGTGTATATATATAATAGTGTGTATATATATATATATGCTTACCCCCCCCCCCCCCCGCCCGATGGATCTACCTTTTTGCTGTTTGAAGGCTATTTCGGAGATGGAATGCAGTTGTGGAATTTCGAATGCCCCATGCGACTTGACCAGCATCACCTCACCCTAAGCAACAACACCTGTTCAAAATCTAATTTGGAATAACCATTCCAACTATGTGTGTTTGTTGCAAAAGGAATCCTATTAAACTTCTCCTTAAAGTCGGAAGTTCTACTAGAATTCTTGCCTTATTAGATGCCACCTAATTCTAAACAGAAAGTGAAGAAACAATTTCCCGGGAAAAACGTTCTCTGTAAAATATATGCTGAAGTAAGAATCCCAAGTAACAATCCTCTTCTAAATGGCAATCCTATATTCAACTCATTTTTAAGTCTAGAATATATATATATATATATATCGTGCTGTTCACTTTTGATTTCTACTTCAATTATATTTGGAAGATTGAACAACTCATCTTGAAACAAAACATAATTCTGAACATTTAATTTTAAAGAAGAATTTCAATCATTAAAAAGCAGCCGTTTAGGAACACCTATGTAAGATATATTTAAAACTAGAAATTCTAATAGAAGTTGGTCTTTATTAATTGCAATTGACACTATGCCAAAAAATCAGCCCGTTTGAACATCTAGTTTCAAATAAGAATGTTGATCACAATTCTTGTTTGACCAGGAAATCCTTTTTATATCATCTTTGAACTAGAAAGAGAGACAGAGAGAAGAGCGACCTGCAGCACGCTGCGGCCTAACCCTTGCTTCCCTCCCGGCATCTCAGGGTGACAAAAGCCACCCTCCACTTGTATCTTTAAACTAGAAGCTCTTACTGGGGATTGTTCCTTATTAAACTCCATTTCAATTCTAATTAGAAAATTGAACAAACACAGTCCTAGACAAAGATCCCCCTTTAAAATGATCTTTCAAACTTACTTTGAGGCAACAATTGCAATTGTGTGTTTATCTTTATCGCATACGTTGAATTCTAAGCAACAAACAATAAAACAAAGTGAGTTTATTTGAACAAAAAGCATGTGTCCAAAGAAACTCCTTGAGCAAGCATGAACGAGAAATAAGTCCGATTCCTACAAACGCGATACAAAACAGCAGCTATGTTGGAGACAATGACCCACAAGTCAAAAGAGTAAATGTTCGGAGCCAGATAAGTAAAAGTATATTTTTGGAGCCAAAAGTACAAAAGTTAAAAAGCAAGGAAGAGGTACCTAAAAAAATGAAAAAAAGGAGGAAAAAAAAAGAAAAAGGTAAAACAAGTAAAACAATTCAGCCCATGCTCCTGAAGCAAAATGCTTTGACCATGGACTGACACATTTTACTTTTTACTGTTTTACGTGTTTTACCTTTTTTACTGTGATACTGTTGGGTCATTGGCTCCATAATGTCACGGTTTGTTTGTTGTTTTACTTGTTTATTTGTGGGTCATTCTTTGCGTTTTCACTTTTGGGCCAATGGCTCCAACATAACTGTTGTTTTTGCATCTTCTGACAAAACCTCGAAATGGAAACAGGACAGAGGTAGATTCAAACTGGATTCAAGATTCCCTGAAAAAGTTTGGCCTAAAGCTTTCAGATTGTCTTTGGATATGCGCCTTTTTTGCTGCTTTCCCATAGCCCCAGAAAAAGCCAGAAAACACTGCACATTCCAGTGATTTCCAAAGGAAGGTAGATCCATGAGGGGGGTACCATGTGTGTGTATATATATATATATATGTGTATATGATAGTATATATGATAGTATATATGATGGTATATATGATAGCATATATGATAGTTTGTATATATATATATATATGATTGCACGCGCGTATGGACGTGCATATATATATATATATATATTTATAGTATTTGTTTTTCAAGAAAGAACATGAAAATCAAGCCTGTTCTCCTGCCCCCGTCCCCTCGATTCTTGGGCGTCCGTGCCCTCGGATTTCAGGCCGCTCACCGTGACTTCGATCTCCATGCCGCGCTCCAACTCGGGGCGACAAGGCGGAACGCGAATTCGGGCTCAACCTGATGCATAAGGCCATGGGTCAAAAGCCCGTACCCCCAGTCAACATCCCAATCCTCACTAAAATAGTGGTGCACCTACCCCAAAATGGTACCATTGGTTTTGACCCACAGTCATATGACAAGGCCTGGCAAGAACTCGCCATTGGGACCAGTTTGGGAGACCTGATCTCAGGTGGGATTGTGAAATTTGCGGCTGAATTGATTCATTCTACCTTCGATTCACCCAGCCGAATATGGGTTTACCAATCTGAATTCAGGAAGCTGGGATGGTGCCCGACCTTTTTCGCCTTCACCTGCATAAGCTTCGCCAGCATTCCCAAAGAGGAAAAAGGCCTCCCCACTCTTTATGACTCAACTTGTCTGCCTCTATCTCTTGGGCCGTCAAACAGTGAACAGTGTCCCTTGCTCATTGACCTGCTTGGATTTGTCATTTTGCGCCGTTTTAGGTGCTCATTTGGTCAACCCTTCATCTTCCCTTCAAACAGCAACCTACCCACAGGACTGGCAGTTACAAATTGTCAACAGAAAGGTCATGCAAGCAGAGACTAAACCTTATTGGATTTGGGCTCTACCAAGAAAGTTGCAATGATTCGTATAGGCCTCGACTCCAAGCCACATCCAAGCCGAATAGCCAGTAAAAGCCCTTCGGAAATGGCTAAGATGGCCCAGGAAAATCGCTGTACACATTCAATTGCCAAGTTAGAGCGAACTTGCAAAAAACGTCACCGATGGTCACCAGGTCGCTATAGCCCCCTCCCCTTGCACCCGCTTTCCGACAATCATGGAAGTGCTCCCATGATTGTCGGAGAGAGGACACCGGGTTCTTTAATCAAAAGTAAAACCGACGGGAAAGCAACTACTTCAGGGGAAAGCAACATTGGGAACCCTTTTGTTCCACCCCAGTCAGATTTTGATTTTCATCCTACCGTCTAGTTTGCGGCCCCAAAAAAAGATTAGTCCCTGCAAACCCAAGCACGTGACGCCAAGTCAGCCTGACGAACCCAAAAATGCGTCCAAGGTGCCACCTCCGCCGGGTGCAAGTTGCCCCTGGCCATCTTGCCTGGGATTCCGTCGGCTCTCTGCGCTTTCGAGGGTGTGCTTTTCTGGCTAAGGAACCCGTTCGAAACTCATCTGCTTAGAGGTAGCCTGCATTTTCGCGACTGTAGCTTTTCCTTGCTCATTCTGTTGAGTTGCTATACTTCTTCAGTCCTTCAGTTTCTCACATGGTCAACTAGCTAGGATCCAACTTTTAGTACAATGGAAGTTTGCAGCTAAAATTCCTTTGATCAATCCAAACAACAATCAACAACAAATCGATTCTCTTTGCCCATGTGCGTGTTTGCCCCGCCCCAAGCTCTGTGAATTGAGGGGCCATGGTGATTTTCTTGAATCTCCTTATCATTGTACCAATCCCGGCCAAGGCGCGAATGATCATCGCCTACCCTGTTCGACGCCACGGTATTGCGGGGAACTCTTGTTGCGCTTGCTGTTAAATGCTCATTTGCCCAAAGGACCCAAAAATGAAGGGCTAGCCTTTTCAATCAAACCTGAAGCAACAAGGGGCAACTAAAAGGTCAAAAGGTCGGCTTTTGGCAAGTGAGAATGATCTGTCACCTTCTGGAGCTCTCCTACATCATCTCAGCGATGAGCTTTCATCTGCAAAGGGACGTAAAGAACCAAATCCGCAGGACGTGAGGCCAAGGGCGTGCTGTGCTCAACTAAAGCAAGCCGAGCTGGCTGTCACCTGCAACCTGCAATAGGAGCGAGCGGATATTCATTCATTGGCGTCAAATATGGCAGACGTGCGTACGAAAATGGTGAAAAGGTGTGGTTGCCGCTGCTAGAAAAGGCCTTTCGGGCACAGAACAGCATCAACTTGGCTGCCCAACCACGAACCTTGGAGCTTCGGAGACTTGAACTGAACAGAGGTGGATTCGCCCAAAGGTCACCAAAGGTCCCAAACTCCTCATCGGCGAAACAAGTATCTTCCTCAAACCAAGTCCGCCGCCTCCGGCCCAGGGCGTGACTACCACGCAGGAATGGAATTGTCGTCTCCAAGTGCAGGTCTAAAAGGATCGGAAAAGACACACCCGTGTGTGCCATGGCTAAAACGTCTGTAGGCTATGGTCCTGTAGAACTTCCTGTAGCTCGTATCTTAGATACTGGGCACCGCCTCAAACCTATGTTGTCGGGCTTCCTTTTGGTTTCCTTTGAACCAACCTGACAATAGTACCCTCCAAAAACACACCCCATGTGTTGCCAAGCGGCTGGCATGCAGCACGGCGTCGCACTCCGCGCCCACATCCAGCAGTGCATAGGAAGGGTGGAGCACTTTCACCGTGCCACCTTGGCAAAGAGCCCTGGGAGTGAGCTAAGTCTGCCTCCGCCCACAGGCAAAGGCTGCTTGGACATATCAGCCATGGGTTGTGACCCACTAGCAACAGGGTGAACTCCAAGGGGGGGCGCGAAGTCTTGGCCCAGGTCCAAAGTCGATTTGCTTGTTCGGGAGGGGGGGGAATACAGTATCCGAGCAGGTTAGGTCGAAGGTATTGTTGTTGAAATCATCCTTAGAGGTTCTTGGATATTGTACCTCTGGGGTATCTGAATTTGCAGGAAAGCCAAACCGCCCTTTCTGGCCGGAAACCAATGTGGGATCCATCAACCAAGCCGTCTCAAACACGAGAAGACATGGTATATAAAAATCCCCCACAAACAAGAAGGTTTGTTCGACGAGCTGCCTTCCTTCTGACCCTCTGCGGTTTGCCTTCGTGACGCGGGAGACAAAGATGGTTGCCCTTACCCCCAAGCCACCCCTTAGGGGCTGAATAGGATATACAGTCACTGTCTAGCCAATGTACAAAGGGTATATACTACATACCAGCCTTGGACTGAACTCAGGAAAGCTTCTACACTTCTAGGAGATCTATTGTTTTCCAAACATTGCCAACAGCTTGGTGTTGCCTGAGAAAACTCGCTTTTGGCTTCGTTGTCGTTAGATTCTTTGGTTTTGCCAAATCTGACCCCGGGCAGATGTGTTTGTGACGTTTGCTGTTTTGTTTGCTGGTCCAAAGGGAAAGCCCCCCTCCTGAAAGGGAGGTGAGTTACGTCAAGTCTGGCAACGCTCCGATGGTTACATAGGAGTACGCACCTCGGGTAGAGGGCACTGCCTGCCTTTCTTCCCCCAAAAGTCATAATTCCCCCAAGTCATCGGAAACTTTTGTTAGGCCGCAATCCTTCAGAGAATGCAGGCAGGAACGGCACATTTTGCTTGTGCAGAGATGGCGTCAAGTCATGCAAGGGCAAATACCCCTCATTCTTCACCAAGGACTGAGAGAAAGGTTAGCATCTGCAAGCCTCAAAATGGCCTTGTTCCAAAGAAAACCGAAACCCAAAAAAAGAAGAGTATCCCCAACAAAAACAACGACAAGCCCATTCGGGTGGGCCATCCGAAATCCTCTCCCATGGTCCACAGACCCGAGCCACGGAGCTTCTGGCCCACCTTCAGCTGGCTCAGCCGCGCCCGGGACCCCTGGGACTCCATGGGCCGCGCCCAGCCCGTCTGCGCCCGCGCTTGCGCCCGCGCCTGGGGCGTGGCCGGCGTGGCCGGCGTGGCCGGCGTGGCCGCCCGCGCGACGCCTTTTGCGCTCCTGCGCCGTCCGGGGGTACGCAACATGCAACGCAAGAGGAGGTCTATAGACGCGCCTCAACAATTCGAAGTGGGGTGATTATGGTCTACAGTGATAAACCAAAGGCTTGTAGGGTAATTTAGACCCGTAGTCGTGATTGTAGTCAGCAGTCGTAAGCTAGTAGTAAGTTTCTTAGCCCGTACATTGGATGGATCGGCGAACCCCTTGGAGGGCTTGCAGCCCTCTTGCTCAGTCGGGTGGGCTTGGGCGTGCTGGATTGCGAGGGCATGGTCCGCTCGGGTGCTGCTTCCCCTTGCCATGTGCCTTGCTCGTCAGCTTGCCTGTGTCGAGTTGAGCTCGTACAGGCGGAATCGGATGGGAGATGCTTTCTGGTTCCCCTTGTGAGCCACCCCTGTCCCAAACAAACCAAACCAAGCCAAACCAAACCAACCCCCTCACCCACCCACCAACCAACCAGCCAGCCAGCCAACCAACAAACCAAACAAAAAGCAAACAAACAAACAAACAAACCAAAAGAACACAGCAAACAAACAAAAAAACAAACAAAAAAACAAACAAACAAACAAACAAACAAGCAAGCAAGCAGACAAACAAACCAACCCACCAACCGGCCAACCGGCCAACCAGCCAGCCAAGCGAAGTGACAAACAACCAAGCGAACAAACAAACAAACAAACAAACAAACAAACAAACAAACAAACAAACAAACAAAGAACAACAAAATCCTCCTAGGGCAAAAGAAACACGATAAACAAACACAACAAGGGGGGAAAGCAAAGTAAATCACGGCACGGCAAAGCACATTGCAACACGAACCCTGGGCATCTTTCCATCACTCACATTGCGCCCCTGGCTCCTGAGGCACAGCGCCAGCACTGGCCACCGCAGCTTCGCGAGTCCCGCTCCTTGGGCGACAGCCGGCGGCTTTCTGCGCGACGGCGAGCTGAAGGGCGCGCCCGCACGCGCGCTCGCTTGGGGCGCGCCAAACGCGAGCATGGCGCGAGACACGGATGCCCGGTGAGGGAAATATCTGGTGCCTGCACCTTGGGACGAGCCAAACAAACATCCAGGTTTACATGCGGCTGTGTGCCAGCGATGTTTGAAACTGTCCTTGAAGCTGTAGCCCTTAGTTGTCCGTGCACGGCAGCTCCTAGGCATTTCTTCCTGAGGCGATTTGCATCTTGGACTGTCGATGGGAGTCCAGTTGCCCAGCGAGAGTGGTCGATGGTTGACACATCCAACAACTCCCTTCTGCACCAGCGAACTGCTTCGCTTCTCTTCCTATGGGCTCCAAGCTTGAGCACGGGCGAAACCGGAGAGAGCCATGGGACTGACCCCTTTTTGGGAAGCCCCCCTGTTTTGTCTTTTTGGGCAGAGGAAGCTGTCCCCATGTTTGGGTTAGGACCGACAAACCCATTTTGCTCGTTGACCTGAAAGGCAGCCAGTTGCTGTGCGCTCCCAAACCCAGCTGAGCAAGTGTCCCCCATCCAAATGTCTGGTGAACAAAAGCGCACAAATGATTATGCCCATGTTTCTCTGATGATCATGGCTTGATTTGGTTGCAAAGTACCTCACAACCCAGTTCTAAGGGAAAAAATGTACTAGCTGAAGAAGTCAGCTAGAAGCCAGGCTGGCACCCAGTCTCAAACAGGTTCTGTTGGAGGACACCTTGCTCTCGCCTGAAAAGGCTCGGGCAGGCTCTTCACATGGGAAGCCTGTCCAAACTAGGAGATGGCTTTAAGAGAATGTTTCAAGCACCTCAAAACAACGACCTTGGTGACGGTCGCACGCAAAAGATCACCGTTGAAACTGAATGGCACACTTCCCTCTATGTGGTAAGTTAAGGGCATGACCACAACAACACGGGAGGGAACTGTGCCGACCACTTAAACCCAAAAGGGTACACTCCCACCAACAATCATGGAAGCCACGATCGGGGGGGGTTCTGGAAGACGAAATCTTTCCTTCGGACACCCCTCCGTCCACGTCCGCGCTTAGAGGGTATGGGAGCCCTGGAAAAAAGTAGAAAGCTCCCAATCAGGCAAAATCGGTGGGCCTTGGACTTCTGCCACTCCTCGCGCAGAAGAATCCCAGGTCTGTGCGTCCCTTGAAGGGACGAGCTGGGCTTCGTAGCTTGGAGTGCTGCCCGCCTTTTTCTGAGGGGAGGGGGACGAGTGAGGGTTCCATACCTGACAAGAGAATCTTCTCCTCCAAGGGCCCGCCTTTTGACGAGCTTGGCTTCCATACATGCAAACAGGAATCAACCGAAACGGCAAAAAGACGCCAGACATTTTTGAAAAGGGCGTCTATGAAGGACCACCCTGTTCCTGGACTTCTCTGCCGGACTGTAGGGTAGTTGGCCTCCCAACCGTGGATGATGCGCCATTGATAGGCCAGCAACTAAAAACCTGTCCAAAAAAGTTGATCTAAGACCTCCTGAGAATAGTGATCTATGACCTCCTAACAAGTCAAGACGCTGCAGGTTCAACTCAAGAGCAACCAAGGTTCATGGTGACACCAGGCTTGGGTGTTCGTTGCCAGTTGTAAGTTTCCTCGGGCTTAATCCAATGAGCTATCCGTTCACAGGTAACCCTCTTGTTAGGGTCTAGATCTGGCAGGTTGGCCGCTTTGGAACCGTCGTGCCATCCCCGCGAATGACCATCCCTACCAATCCCAAAAGGGGGCAGTTGAAACCAAGGCACATGTGCAAGGGCAAGAAGAGTCTGAAGGGAGGGAAACCAAAGGAAGCCAAAAAGCCCAACGTCGATGTCACAAGTTGTTTCCTTCAAACATGTACAGTGGATGCGCAGCCACGAACTGTTCCTTCATAGCCGCTGGGTTGCCCAAGGAGACTGTCAATCCTCTTTAGCATTTTCCCCACAAGACTTTGGTTTTTTGATGCTGGTCCATATTCAATGAACCTTGATGGGTGCCTTTTTGTGATCCTTTTGGTTCCCTTTAAACACAACCATAAACGAGCACCCCAATCCAAGACGCATGCTAATCGCACAATCAAATGTCAAAAGAGATCCCAGACTTTTGTTTCAACCCCCCCCCCCCCCACCAATCCATTTCCAGGTCCTTGGCTTTCCACTCCGAAGCAGAATCTCGGCAGGCGGGCTATGTCGTTACTCTCCCCCCAAAAAAACATGTCTTTGGTTCCATGCCAATCTGGGCCGACCTCCAGCACCCCTTCGATTCAGGTCCTGACAAGTTTTCTCCTGGATGTCTCCAGCTTTCTTGCCCGGCCAGGGCAAAAAGGATTTCTGGGCTCGATTGACAAGCACGGGAACCGACCAGGCAGAGAGGCAAAGGTCAACAAGTCAATGCAAGCCCACAAAGGCACCAGCATGATTGTGGGAAATACCTTCCTGTGAGAACAAGTGGGCCATCCCTATGACCACTTTGTCCCTTCGGGGATTCCCTTGGTATCACTGAACCGGGCCTAAAACGATATTCTTCACAACCAGGCCCCCAAAGAGAAACATGGGCCGCAAGATCCGCGCTTCACTGAAACTTGGAGGTCTCTGCTTCATCTGTGCACGGATCGGATCCTGCCCTAGAATGGCCTTGGGTCACCCACGAATACAGGCTGAGCTCTACAAGTGGGTCATGACCCAGGTTATTGACAGCTTACCAACTTGGCCGAAGGCACGTCCAAGTACTAAACAAGGGAAATAGGTGGAATCCAGAGGCGGAATTCAGCCCGAGTGCCATTCAGGAGACAGAAGCGCCGGCGTGAAACCGGGGAAGCAAGTGTCACACATGGGTATGTGTGAAAAATGGAGGGAACGCCAAAATGGTGGCTTTCATGTTGGATTCCCTTTTAAACCCAGTTAAAAAACACTCATATGAACATGCTTGTGCCTTCCCCTTGACACATGGGTGTGTGTTTATAACAAGGGATTGTTCACATGTTTGGTTGCTCTTTGGTTTGGGTTCAAAAAACCAAGTCCGAAAGAAAGGATACTTACTCAAAAGAGGACCTCACTAAATGATTCTACACTACCCCAAAAGGGAAGTGTCCCCCAAATCAAGTTTGAGAAGCCCCAAAACGTTCACTCGAATGGACCCCAGCCACAGTACGCTTAGCCTGGCCTTCCTCCACTCATGCCAAGGGGCTCTTCTCAGACTCTGCATCCGCAAAGTCCTCAGCTTCCTCCTCAGCTTCCTCCTCCTCCTCCTCCTCCTCCTCCTCCTGCGATGTGCGCCCTTGGGTGAGCCGTTGAGTGGGAGTTGGGTTCCTTTCGGATGCTCACATGGTCCTTTGGTGCAAGCTGGAACCCATTCATGAGAGTTCCTTGAAACGGAAAGCGCTTAGCCACCGGGTACTACATTGGTATCACAAGGGCCCAAGGGGCCCTGAACCCCTTGTTCAACCATGAGCTCTGTCCCGAGCGCGCTAAAACTGAACGAATCCTTGGGGGCTCTCCACCATCCGCGTCCGCATCGGGGTTTCCGCTGTTCAAAAACGGTCTCAAAGCCCGTGTTTCAACAGCCTCATGGTCCACACACCCATACAATGCCCTCTTTGCCCATGAAACCCATCCTCCTCGTAAGCCTCTTCCGCTTCCTCTTCTCTCTTGGGCTTTCCCTTTGCCTTGGACTTCTTTGGCTCCTCCTTCGCCTCCTTCGCCTCTGCCTCCTCTGCCTCCTCCGGCTCCTCCTCCGCCTCCGCCTCCTCCGGCTCCGCCTTCGCCTTCGCCTTCGCCTTCGCCTCTGCCTTCTTTGGAGCCTCGTCCTTGCGATGCAAATGCCGCAAACAGATCCGATTCTACCGGGAGCACACTTGGACGGACGTTGAGAACCAAATGGATCCACAAAAAGTCAAATCTGGGCAGGAGACTGCAACTCACCTTCCAAGTCGCCGCAAACCAAATTCCGGCAGGTGCCGGTTTCTCATAACCTGAAAGAAAGAGAAAAAAAAGAGCAACGAGCCAAATGTGCAGTGAAAACACCTGTGGCTTTTGATCCCGGTCCTATCGAAAACCGTTGCAATGGGTCCATGAGCATCCCTACACGTATTTTGACCATCAAGCGCAGTCCCGTGGATCGGTACGGGCTTAGCCTTGATTGAGCGTGTACCCTGTATTTGAGGTTGCTTCAAAGGGAAACCAAAGGGAAAACCCTGTTGGGGTCCCCTAGACGCTCATGGGCATTCAAAGGCTGCAAAACCAGTGGATGACCTGTGGCTTCCCCTCAACAAGGTCTAAGGTGGCGCCCTCATTTCAGGTTTCAAGACTGGGGGGGTGGACTGGTTTTTGCCCCCAACCAGTTTGTTTGGCGATTTGTGAAAAGGTCGAACCATGGACTTCCCCCACTCCCGCCTCACTCCCGGATAGCTGCGAGCCCGCGCTGCCAAAGGCGTCCTCCTCCTGCGGTTCTAGTACGCCCCAGGCAGTGTCTGGGTCGATCATGAAGAGGGGCCAAGTGATCCAAAATGAGGCATAACCAAGGGAAAGTGACTGGTTGGGTTGGGTTGGGTTGGGTTGGGGTCGGTTGATGAGCGACGAACAGAGGCAAGCAGCCAGAGGCAATGCGGGCAAGTAAGTTCACAATATCATTGCGTCCATCAAACCATGGGGGTCTGCCTAGCTAAGCTCAGGAGTGGTCAGGAGCTGCTCAGAGGTAGGAAGGCTCCGAAAGATGCCGGAGGCTATATGAAGCCGTCGATGGGGTTCCACGTTTGGTTTTTGGGGCCCATGTTAATCAGAGGATTATGTGGTTGGAAAAGTTGATCTAAACAAAACAGACACAGGGGCCTTTCTTTTCGGGGTGCCCATGTTTTGTGAACTTCAAGGGAAACCAGCAGAAAACCACAATTTTGGAGGGGTTCCCTAAAAAGGACATACCCACATCATGACACCGGATCCTCCTCCTCCTCCTCCTCTTCCTTCTGCGCCCTTACGCGCCTTCCCCTAGGCAGGCCCATGGCCTGGCGCAAGCCAAATGGCTTAAGACCCATGTCTTTGGTGGGGCCAAGTAAGAAGCTCTGGATTTGTGGCCCATGAACAAAATCGTTGAAACAGCCCTAAACCCACCAAACTGCTGGTCGCCTGAAAGGGAACTCAGAGGGCGCCGTTTGGGTAAACCGCGGCTGACAAAGGCTAGAAGGGCGTTCCAACCTTGCAAGCCTCATTTAGGTTTCCCTTGAAAGCCTCATTCAGGTGTCCCGTTAAATAAGAAAACTTGCTGTTCAGCTTGGCCGAAACAGCCCCCCTGACAGATTACGAACCCCTGCCAACCTGTCATGCAACTACACGTTCTGCCGCCGGTGACCTCCCTTCCTAAAGGCGCATGCCGTTCTTTTTCAGGGGTTGCACAAGGGCGCCTGATCTAAGAAACCACCTGCAGGACATTCTATGCGAAAGTAGCCACTACTCTTGTTTTGCTCCCGCAGCCCAGAAACGCAATGAGAACGCTGTAAAACAGCTCCTGAATTGAAACCATGTGAAAACACACACAAACACCAGCAGAGGTGC